GCGATTCCGTTCCGCTGGTAGATTCAGCGAAGCAATGCTCCAGAGCTAGTACCCGTCATCCCAGGTTGAACCCCGGGAGCTCATCTAGATACCAAACCGTGCGTAGCTGCGCTTTGGTTACCATCGATTAGGCAGGGAAAAATATATATCAGGGGTGGCCAATTTGATTAAAACCAAGATGTACTGTTTACTGATGATACACTCTACGATCTACTAATGTCATTTCTTGAAATTTAATGAAACAATGTAGTTCGGTATACAAATAAGTAGTATATTTTCTTTTATGAAAAAGATAAACATAAAGCTGAAATTATAAAAGAGAACTATTGTGTGCAAGTGAGGATAAATAATGTGACTTAATGTTCATTAACAAATGATACAAGATGAAGATGATGCGTGCAGCAATTGGTGATTACGTTGCGCAGTCTGTTCTATGTATTTTTATTTTTTGTCTCGCCACGATGGACTGAACTAATAGCCACGATCGACTGTTCGATCGCGACGTTGAATTAAACTAAATAAAATTTAGAATGAACACCGGAAGTGACGGTTTACTAGACGTGACTTGGGTAGCGGTAGAGCCCTTCATTACGGATCCTCCCTATCCATTAACGGTGCTTTTAGGTACCACAAGCACCGGTCACCGTCCTCGCCGAACCCATCGCTTGCAACGAAGGGCTCGACGAGTAAATTAACCCATCTCCCATCCTATTAACACAGCCACTGGGTTTCTCGCCGGATCTTCGCGTTTCCGATCCGGTGGTAGATTCTGCGAAGCAATACTCTTGCTCGGGCCAGTGTTAGCAACACTCCCTCACCTACACGTCAAGAAACTGAAATAGCCTCTCAAGGCTATCAGCATAGGTAGGAAAAAAGAAAAAGAAAAAAAAAGGTAGAGCCAACTTCTAATTTAAGAGACGGAAATTAAAAAAAACTTAAGATTATAAAGTTTTTGAGACATTGTTATAATTTTTCCACTAAAATTTCCAAAAATTAATCTTTATTTTGGACTAAAAAAATTGCTTTTATTTTTTATTTTCGAGCTCACGACCCTCCTTGTGTTATGTGGTTACCAGAGCCCATACACATCTACAAGATAAATGCTGTCAACCACCTCGAGACATGAGCACTAAAGTCTCAGTTTTAACTACGACTGCTGCCCCACCCTTCAAGCCGAAACGCATTACTGTTTCACGGCAGCATTCGTTCCGATATCGAGTCGAGGGAACGCGATCCCGCCCCCGTCACGTCACAGCCGGAGTCCCGCAAGGCTCCGCCCTCTCCCCGTTACTATTCAGTTTGTATATCAATGATATACCCCGGTCTCCGGAGACCCATCTGGCGCTCTTCGCCGATGACACCGCCATCTACTACTCGTGTAGGAAGAAGGCGCTGCTTCATCGGCGACTTCAGACCGCAGCTACCACCATGGGACAGTGGTTCCGGAAGTGGCGCATCGATATCAACCCCACGAAAAGCACAGCGGTGCTCTTCAAAAGGGGTCGCCCTCCGAACACCACGTTGAGCATCCCTCTCCCGACCAGGCGCGTCGACACCTCCGCCTCCGCCATTCGCCCAATCACTATGTTCGACCAGCCCATACCGTGGGCCCCGAAGGTCAAATATTTAGGCGTCACCCTCGACAGAAGGATGACATTCCGCCCCTATATTAAGACGGTACGCGACCGTGCCGCCTTCATTCTAGGACGTCTCTACCCGATGGCAGGCGAAGTAAAATATCCCTTAGAAATAAGGTGACACTCTACAAAACTTGCATACATACCGTCATGACCTATGCAAGTGTAGTGTTCGGTTACGCGGCCCGCACTCACTTAAAATCATTTCAAATTATCCAATCGCGTTTTTGCAGGATAGCCGTCGGAGCCCCGTGGTTCATCAGGAACGTCGACGGCCATGACGACCTGGACTTAGAGTCCATCAGTAAGTATTTACAGTCGGCGTCGATGCGCCACTTCGATAAAGCGGCACGACACGAGAACCCTCTCATCCTGGCCGCCGGTAACTACATTCCCGATCCTGCGGAAAGAATGGAAAGCAGTCGACGTCGCCCAAAACACGTCATCTCGGATCCTCCCGATCCACTAACGGTGATTCTAGGTACTTCAAGCACCGGTCACCGTTCTCGTCGAACCCGTCGCTTGCGACGAAGGGCTCGACGAGTAAATTAACTCTCAGACACAGCCCACTGAGTTTCTCGCCGGATCTTCTCAGTGGGTCGGGTTTCCGATCCGGTGGTAGATTCTGCGAAGCACGGCTCTTGCTAGGGTTCGTGCTAGCATCGTCGTCAGGTTTGAGCCCCGTGAGCTCACCTACTAGTTACGGTTACGCTGGAATAGCCTCTCTAGGCTACCAGCTTAGGTAGGAAACATAAAAAAAGGCAGCATTAGGTAGGCAGGTTTACATAGACGAAACGAGCTCCCCTTGTTGTTATTGCCTACTGGAACACATACACGATCACAACGTGAATGTCGCAATCTATATGTATCATATCTAGGGGTGAAAGGATATTTGGTTAAAGCGACATTTTTTTTTGCTCCATTTCAAATTTATAATTTGGACAAAATAACAGAACAAAAAGATTTTTTTAACTATTTGAATGGGGTAAGCTTCATTGAAGTTTAATTAAAAAATAAGGCTAAGGGACTTTTGGAAGAACCCGAAAAGCGAGTAAGCAATCATTGTTACACGTATAAATCTAAAAGTACTGTATTAATAACTTATGAATCTAGTTAGCAAATAATAGTCTATCTATCTATCTCTTAGGTTTATGGCGTTTCCTTTTAGATTCAAATAATAGTCGGTGATAAAATAAAAAAAATAAAAACTTAACGTTCCCGCCAAACGGTCATATTTCACAGAGTAGTATACTGGAAAGGCAAAAGTACCATACCATACCGGGCATACCGCCTAGTATTTTATATTTTCTATATGAAAAATGACAATGAAGTGAAATGAGATAAAGTTTATTAATTTGGAGCTTTAATCGATTCGCATGAAATAAAATAAAATGAGATGAGATGATATGGGATGAAATATAATATCAGTAAAATGGTGGTCCCACATTTGTGCAGTTTCACAGAAATAGCCAATGAACCAACGTTATTACGCATTTAAAACTGAAGAAACACTAAATATACAAAACAAAACAATTCACACTACTTCACTCTTCGCGTTCCTGCAAAGAGTCCTAGAATGATCTCAGTAGTTGCACTAGTTCCATTTTTCCAACTGGAATAGCGAAGGTATCATTATACCATACATGTATGCATGATCTATCTATATGAATGATCTCATTAATTAGTTCTTAACTCTATATACCATAGAAAACACAAGAGTAAGGTAAGGCAACTCGGACTTTATGTCAGCTTTCAAATTTGAAAATCAAAGATATTTTTTATCTTTAGGATTTAGAAACAGGGCCATCACAAGGAACGTCTCACATACAGCCAAATCTTCAGCTTAATTAGACAAAGCCATGACTTTTGCCCGAACAGTAAACTAATTTTGTAGGATTTTGCTGAGACTTCATGGAATTTCTATAACAAACTGAACATTTGTACATTTTTGCAAAACCTGTACGTTGTACGTTATAAACTACGACCAGTAAATAGGCAAAAATAAACAATACATATAAAAGCGTATTTCCACTAAAAGTATTTACAATCATAAGTAATTCGGATCCCGAAATAATTGATGGGGTGACAAACGTACATCATAGCCGAATATTAAAGTATTCTACTGCATTTACTTTAATTTTTCAATACGTTTTGTAAAGTTATGAGGACAAAAGCTAGAACTGATCACGACTCAAAAAATATGTAAAACTGAAAAGAGCCAATTGACGAGCCAGCTTGCGAAGGCTAGTAGTAATGTAACAATGTACTCTAATCAAACATAATTATTTTAATCATAGATTCATGAATAAGTTTGTTCAATTAGAAAAAAGAAAATGCTATTAAGACATATAAAATAATCCGAATTTCAAAAAGGTATTTGGGGTACGCGACAGTGCAAAGGTCTTCCACCGAGCGGATAAAATTATTCGGTTGATCGATAGCCCAAAAGTTGTTGTTTGGAACCGTTTGGAAAGTTGTTGTTATTAGGCAACTTATGTTGAAAATGTCGTTAGCAATATTCAGGCATCTGTCAAATATTGATGTGCCTTTGGAAAACATACAGCATTGTATTATGAAGAAGCAGTGTGTACTTAGCTTAGATTCCTTGTCTATGTCCAACCATAGACCGTCAATTTAGTTCCATCTTTAGCCGCTAGGTGCTGCCAGCAAGTATAAAGGGAGCGCAGCCATCTTTGATCTTCATAGCGTTGTGTACTTTCGTACTGTGAAGTCGCAAGTCCANTCAAAGATGGCTGCGCTCCCTTTATACTTGCTGGCAGCACCTAGCGGCTAAAGATGGAACTAAATTGACGGTCTATGGTTGGACATAGACAAGGAATCTAAGCTAAGTACACACTGCTTCTTCATAATACAATGCTGTATGTTTTCCTTCTCGGCACATAATATCGGTTTTATTGTTATGTAAAACCGTAATATTTTGTGTTCAATGCTCGTTACCGCCACAGATATAACAATGTTACATCATTTTTACAACAGTTTCCTTTCTGTACAGTTTTTGTTTTTCGATCAAAGATATGAATGTACATATGCGCAATGTTCCCTTTGCCTGTCAAACGGACGAACTAAATTAATGAAACATAAAAATAAATAAAACCGTTTGGAATCTAACTTATTGAAATAAATTTAATTTAATTTAATATCGATCTGAAAATAATAGCGTATTATAAATACCGTCCCTTAAAACTATACAAAAGTAGTAGGTATTTAACATTTTGACACATTCCTTCTCACCGGATTGGTGCTTTGACCACTGAAGTACTATGGCTTTGACACATAACGGTATTCAATTTTGATAGACTGTTTATCATAGACAACCGTCCGAACTCCGAATCCGAACTGTCCTAGAGTTTTCGAAACCGAAAAGATCGGTGAATAGCTTGAAAAATTCGGTGTGTATTGCGATGTCGGATATCGGCAGCGGTGACGAGGGAATTAATAGTCAGAGTACGTATCAATTTGAAAAATCCGGGCGTTCGGAACACCGGTTGTGATGAGAAAGAATCATTCGTTAACCGTCGCGACCAATGTTCCCTCTTGTTAGGAACGTTCAAAAGTAAATACTTTATTGTTCCCGTTTCAAAATGGCGAATTCGATCCTGGAGAATCTTTGTTCGCGAAGCGGGACCCGCGCGTGTCGTTCGTGAGACGCGCGACCCGCCCGGGACCAGCCGCGGCTGACAGCCGGCGGAGGTTGACGACCTATCGATTTTTTTGTCTGCGACCTCTCGTCGGCGGGCGGACCGCTCTCGGCAGCCGACACGCTCGCAGCCGCAGCACCGGCCGCCGCCGCCTGTCAGCTGAGCGCCGTGCGGGGTCACTGGCCGCGTCTCCGGGATCCACTACCCGAATGTCACTTGTCATTTTGTAATCTCATTACAATCTGATTGCCTCTGATGTGATCAGTCTAGTGATGTGATTACCAGTGTACAGTGTTGCAACATTATCCTTTGTTCTCAGTATCCAGGACATAGTTATGCCAGAGATGCTTTACATCATAGTGCAGTGAATGTGAGTCTTGTGTAGTGTTATTTTATATACAGTCTTGAACCAAGAACAAAGAAAAGTGTGTGTTGTGTTACTACTATGCTTGGAAACAAAGGAGTTGTAGGAGAATCTGCTTTGATGAAGATAACCTTTGATTAGTTTGAGCCATCAAGAATATATCTTGAAGATAGAAATTGCAGTAATGGAGCCAGATATGGGTAATTTTGTAGTTGGCAAGTAAAATCTGTAATGCAATAGCCTTTTATTATTTATTTGTCATTATTGCACTGATTCTATGGTTCTCCTTAGATTCACTATTTGTATTAATTTTTTCTTTATTTGTAGAAAAATCAATGCGTTTCAATGATGTTAGATGGTATGATGAAGGTGTTATATGAATTTTATGAAGAAAAATTCTTAATTTTTTTGGAAGCTTAAATCAATGCCATTTGATGTTCAGAATATTATTTAAAACAATAAGAAAATTTATTCATTAGTTTCATCAACAGAATAGAAATAAATGACTAGGTGCACAAAAAAAGAAATGAATTTAGATATATTAATAAAAAAAAACTAATGCATATGAATTTAAAATATATTCAGAGTTGTATGAAACTGCATTATGATAATAAATGACAATTGTCAGTTCACACATTAATATACAATTAATTATCATATAATAAGTATGCTAGTGCCTCACATTAATATTCACAACTCTATTCTGCCATTTTACCACTCATTGGTCTAAAATCAATATCCAATGAATATTTAAAATAACCAGTTAGATGATAAAAAAATTAGATAGAATGTTCTTAATAATGATTAACAAAACTAATAAATGTGTAATTTATTTCGGTTTGAAGAAAATCTATTGTTTTAAATCTAAGCTATCCAAATATTCATAGCATGTATTTAGTAAATCATAAATATTCATATGGCAATAAAAATGTATAAAATCATTTCATCATATTCCTGAATTCCTTGAGAAATCTTGAGAGAATTTTAAACTAACCTCAGCTTAAAAAGGAATTACATATTTAATTTATTGCAATGTTCATTTAAATTTATATTGATCATAAATAACCAAGCTTATGAATTAAACTCAGATCTTAGATACTTGTTTACAATACTGTTTAATCTTCTATCATAGTTTGTATTTGTAGTCTGATATGATTTTTATATTGTTTTATAATTTTTGAAAAAATATTATTATTTGATGATTATTATTATTATTATTTTTAGAAACACCCGTTTACAATGTTTTCCCTCATCCTCCTTGTTGAATTTTTTTGCACCATTACAAACAACATATGTACATATCAAACGAATTTGTTTGATTATTCAGCATCATAATTATAGCATCATTATTACATACATAATTATAGTAATCAATAGCATGGACAAAAATTTATTAGCTTCTTGTAATTTGCATTCTAATTTTAAACCATATTTGCATAGCCAAGAACCAATCTACTGGAGTCCTGAAAATATTTGAGGTGTTTACATGTATCATTAATCAATTATGTTACTTAAAATGTAGGTTAAAAAATAATTGAACTTCAGACTCAACTGGCCGTCATACAAGGACATCTAGACTAGACTAGAATGAATCAACAGTCGTATGATTCTGAAATGTAAATATGTGTTTTTATTATTTATGCACCAAGTTCTATTCATATTGTGCTGAGGCTTACAGTTCCCTTTAGCATTTGCACGAATGAGTTTTATTATTGCACTACATGGTTGGACAACTGGGACAGCACCCGACCCACATGATAAGTTGTTAGTGGAACCTGTGGACAAAGCATTGTGAATACTATCATCCACTATGAGACATGACGCTGAAATCTCAATTGTATCGCACAATAGTTGACCCACCCTTTAAGCTTAATGAATGAGTGCTTCTCCGCAGGAATGGGTAGATAAGTCCCTGTCTGCTGTAACTATAGCAGAAGCACACAACTACCAACAAATCAGAGTTACCCCAAAAAGTATTTATGAACACTAATGAAAACAATTTGTATTATGGTTCTACTAGTGATGGAAAGAAAAAATTTAATTACCAAAAAAACCTTCTAAGTTTTTTTATCAAATTTGAATATTTTGATGTATAAACCACATAAAACTGGCGAAAGAGTATGCACGATATGTAGAATAGAAATAGTTTTAGGAGATTAATTAGCTTTATGGAATGCCAGTCGATCGATAGTGATCCACTTGTAGAGTTTCTTGAGTATTCCATAAGGTGGTGACATCAATATATGATCTCTGTTTACAACCATTTAGGTTGAGCTGGACCCATCTTTATGTAATATGGAAGTTCACTAATCATCTAAAAATCGTCATAGAAAGCAATAAAGTTATGGGAAGAGTCATGTACTTCTTGACTGGTTCGACTTGGGGGATAAGTAACCATATATGATGTTTGGAGTAATAATTAAAATGGCTTAAGAATGAGAAAATACATAAGACAAACTTTTATGCTTATTATTAAATAAGCATAAAAGTTTGTCTTATGTATTTTCAGAAGAATGGCATGTACATTCAGAAGAATGGCAGCATGTCTTGTAATCAAGACATGCTGCCATTCTTCTGCTCCAGTTTGGGGTTCTTAATGAAGAAACTTGTAGCTGGTTAATCATCGACTTGGCCTCGAAAGACTTACTAGTCAACCATACTACTATTTCACTGGTTTACAACTAGGGAAGTAGTGTACTTGTTCACTTCTGGTTAAGTAGTTCATTGGTTTACCATTACTAACGACCTACGAAAAGGGTGTCAGCGTTTAAGGGCTTTATTTGGTTACAGGATATTATTATTTTATCGTGGAAGTTTTAAAAACTGGATGGACTAAATTGGAAACAAGATGATCAAGTTTTCAAAATTAAATGATATATTAATTTGATTCCAGTACATTGGGTACTTTACGTATTAGGCCGTAAACGCTTCTTCCATTCAGTATATTTTAATATCCGAACCGAAGATGTCGTAAGATGGTTTAATCCAGTTTTGAAGTTTTGAATCTCAATTCGATATTTAGAAATCGTTTCAGATTAGATGATTGCCTATCTGCTAATGCTGCATATTTTGATCTGTGACTTTGTTCTCCAAATTGACCTGATGGTCAAATGAGTATTTTTACATTTTCACAATATATGTTTAGCTGCCATAGCTACTAAAACAAAACGTTATCGAATACACAGATAATTAAAAATCGTTATTTAAGAATTCGCTACAAATAAATTTAGGTCCATTCGAGTCTAATATAGAAGCCCTAATTAGATAAGAGTAACGATAATTGTCGATATGCGTTGACTACTCGTGGTTCCTATACGATATTCAATTGTCACTACTGTGATAATTCGTTGTTGATTAAATTAGTCGCCCTAAATTTGTTTTTATATATAAATTCCTTGGAGACGTGCTGTCGTAAACAGTTCTCAGAAATAAAACGAGTAAAACGCTAATATAATTTAGACTATTTAGATGGGCAGGCTATTGGCGAATGGCAGTGTGTCGCAAAGCAAATGTTTCATCACCGAAACATGATTGTCTCATTCACTACGGTCTGAGTTGCCTTCCCTTTTTTTTTTTTTTGCAAAAACCTGCGGTTTCACTTTTTTGTCCGTCTGGTTTGCGTCTACACAATATCGTCTGCGGCCAACGACCTGCCTTGAACCACTTATATAACCACATTAAGGCTCAGAATTGCGGTGCGTTCGAATCTGTACACGAAAGAGATAAACATGTTTGTCTCATTTTCTCATGGCTAGTAACGTTAGCCTGCTCTTACACAAAATTGTAATTGTACACGAAAATTTGCGATACGTATTACAGAACATGGATGCGTCACGAAAGTCAAAATTAGGACACAACTTAATTGCACACACACACAGTGTTAAACCAGCAATTACAATCCGAAGTTTCAACATAATGGTTACGTTTCATTAAACATTAATGAGAACAATAAGGCCAACATCGGGTAATATTTCAGTTAAATGAGCTCTTTTCAATTTACCTTGCCGTATCTACGCTGCATATTTCGTGAGAGGTTGTATACGCAATTTTTACAAAAAAACGGAACCGTGTGACGCGACAGCATAAGCTTTCCATCTCTTTCTCGGTTCCAAGGCCTTAAATAGTCTCGCGAATAATGGCAATGTTCCTTATTGGCTGGTCTATAAACACCCTAGAGCGGGCCCCGCGATGGTTGTGCTGACTTTTTAGTTGTTCTTTGTCTCAGCTGTGACCTCAGACGCGAAAATCGCTGTTAGTGTTTCGCAAAAATTGGCATAAATGTACGCGATTGGCGATTTATTTGTTTTTAGTGACTCATTCACCGTCAGATTGAAGGTCTTTAGAACGAATATGGGGCAACGATTCTGTTGTAATATAATACTAGGTCCCGCAGTAGTCGAAATTCGACTATAATTAATTGGAATTGTATAAGTTTGTACACTATTATGATTGTATTTTCTACTTCCTATAATCACAAATTTCGCCAAGGCTACACTATAAAAAAATATTAACAAAGACAAACAATATTTATTCTATTCTCAATTTGACCACAGACGTCAAGAACAAAAGTTTGACAGTAAATAGTATGCATGCGTGTGTGCGTCAAATACATGGTATGTAGTGTGGGTAATATTTTCTTTATTGATTTAATGTATCTTTTATGCATTATTTAAAAAAAATATTAGCATTGTGCACTTCTTGTCTATATTCTCTATAAGTGTGGAAAATTTCATACTCCACCGTCCGCGCAATTTTCGTAAAAAGGGATATAAAGTTTTTGCTTCACGTATTAATATATAGATTTAAAAAAATATTAGCATTGTGCACTTCTTCTCTATATTCTCTATAAGTGTGGAAAATTTCATACTCCTCCGTCCGCGCAATTTTCGTAAAATGGGATACAAAGTTTTTGCTTCACGTATTAATACATAGATTGTTGTATTAAGTATATAAATATAATGATTGTTGAGACCGCTCGCTATTACTAAATCTGCATATATCTGCCGCGAGACTCATGCGTTATAGGATATAACTTCAGTGGAGTTCGACCTAATGCCTCAAGATGAGAGGCGGTGTTCAAGTTGTGATATCTATATGTTCCAGTAATATTTACAGCGAAATCTGTAAACCCGTTCACCCCTTTACGTAATAAGAGTATAAATATTATGTATTCAAATATCAAAGATTAACTGAATAGCGT